ATTAACAGCTTCCGACTTACATTTTTTTAGCACTGCAGATTGAAAACGTTCTCTTGTAAAGAAAAAAAAATCTTTTGCATACATTATATTTTTGTTTGAATGTGTTTTGGTTAAACAGGTTGACAGAAATTGTAGATCGGAAATCCAGGCATTGAGTAAGAAACTGTTACCTTTGCTGCAAAAGGAGGAAGGGTTTCCATGAACTTTGGTAAAGATACAAGATGAAGATTATGTATTCATAACGCACGCAAGAAGAATGGAATCTGTACCGATGAAGCTAGTGACTCTGTACTTCTGTAGTTTCATGTCGAAAAGATATAGTTGTTTGAAAAGGTTACTCTCCTTGTGTAACCCACAACAATAATAAAAAATGAAGAATAGTACATACATTTTGAGTTCAAATATAATATAGATTAGATAAATGTTTATATTTTCATTTTATTAGTCCCCGTTGAGAATTTCCCAGATAAGAGTACTATCTCTGCTTGTAGGATATAGTGCATGATTGGTTTTGGTTTAGTTTAGTTTCGTTTCTAAAGCTGAAGGTAAGACAAAAATACAATTTTTAGAGTAGAACATTTTCTGTTAATTTTGAAAGTAATCCTTTTTTTTTTATCAATTTCTAATTTTTTTTTCAAAACAAGTTATAGTTTTTTAGTTATTTGAATAATTAGATAGTGTTTAAAGTTAATTTTTATGTATTTTGAGATTAATTCTTTTAACCTCTTTCTTGATTTAAATCATTGAGGATTTTAAAGATGCATTCCTATCTTTATATCATAAAACTCAAATTCATGATATTTTATTTAAATAAAAAAGTTATTGTTAAATTACTTAAATAATTAACTTATTTTATATTTTAATCAATCACTTTTATAGTTTATACATAAGTTAACATACAAGATTTGAATTTAAAACGTTTGTGTTCAGTTTGGGAAAAGTTTTTATCAACAAAATTTCCTTAAAAAGTTACAAACTTTTCCAATAAAATTTTCCCAACCCTTTCAAGCAAAACTTTTCTCAAGAAAAAAAGAAAAAAGAAAAAAAATGAAGATTTCCTACAAACCAAATATGCTCCTTGTCTGTAATTTACCACCACGGTAAGGATTCATTGACCACTTTTTGAAATTTTGGCGTGCTAGCTCCATTACCTTATCATTTTTCTTTACCGAGGAAGACCTTTATTGAGAAGAAGGGCGAAATATAATTCATATAATCAATTAAAAATAATTGATTTATCATTTAGTTTTGCATACTCATTAGTATTTATCAATTTAATTATTAAAATTTTACACTTAAAAGTTTTTTTTATCATGAATTTAAATTTTAAAAAATATTTTTTAAATAAATATATTATAAAATATATTAAATTAAAAAAATATATCAATTATTATTTTATAACCAATGCATCAGAGTAAATGACTCCAACCAATGGACCAGCCCCAGGGGCGTGCAAAAAAGTTGGTAATCCCGACCCGTCCCATGAGGACATAGGAACTATTCGGGAATTGGCACCAAGAATGTACCAACGGGAATGAAAATTTGGTACAGGAACTGTACCATTTAATGTATTTGGTCGGTATTAAGTTTGTAACTTGAAAATACCAAATATTCAACATCAAATATCATATAATTTTATTTAAATATATATTTATTAATAAATTTAAAATTGTTTTATTAATAAAAAATAAAAAAGAGATATATGATAATAACGAAACCTAAATCTCCAATTCTAATTCTTCTACTTCTCAAATTTTGCTCAACTGCATCTTCTCTTATCTCTTAGAGTCCACCCCATCAACGACGAGGAAGATTGACAAGAAGTCTTCGGTCTTCCACCTGCAAGCCCCTCCGATTTCTAAAATTGTTCCATTGGCAAGCCTCTTCCTTCACTAGAATTCTTCCTTAGATTTCAACTCTTCCCCCTTGGCCCCTCAAATCTTCAATCCCCTCGGATTTCTAAAATTATTTCCCTGAAAAATCTATTACCAAAGCATTTTTGAAGACATAGAGATTGCATGTGACAAATCACCTTCTTAGGTATCAAAATTGCATGACTTTTCTTCATGTTTTTAATTTCAAAGCATAATTTCAAAACAAATTATGTCATTGATATTAAACCAATAATTGCTTGTTATTATTTTTTTTTTTTTTGAAGTTGCAAAAGTTAACAGTACTAAAGAATTGGTAAATGCTTTGGTCTAGTTCTATACAACGTATTAGAACCAAAATTAATTAGTACCAATCGATTGAAAGGATTAATTTTTCCAGTCTAGTTTAGTCTAGTACTTGATACCATCTTTGAACATATTGAAATTATTTACATGTATTAAGTGGGAGAAGAGGAACGGGAATCCATAGAATTCGAACACATCACCCATAAAAATAAACGGTCCTAACTCATGATCTATGTTATTCGGTCGAAACAGGCTGTTCACTTGATACCACCCTTGCGTGCCAAATAAAATTGGTACAATAATGAATCGGTCCAATTTATTCCGATACTGTATCGGTGCCCACCCCTAGACTAGCCTAAAGTACAAGTATATAAAAGAGTGCTAGCGCTAAAAAGAGAAGAGGCTGAAGCTGTCTCCTCTTACTAATGCCTGGCACATAATAAAGCACCTAACATCTAACAAGGCTCATTAAAAAAGTGCATAGCCAGCTAGGAAAACACAATTAAATCTAAGCTAACTTAAAATCAACTTAAATCCAAAGACTCATAACTTGTTTGGTTTGAGGAGATAAAGAGAGAAAATTTTCCCTATTTAGAGGAGATGTATTTTCCTTTATTTTGCTTTTTTTTTTTTTAAGGTTTTAGTATATCCATATAAAAAAATGGAGGGGAGGAATTAAAGGGAAATTAAATTCCTTTCCTCCCCTTTGTTTCTCTCTTCCTAAACAAATAAAGTATAAAAATCAAAATTTAAAAGAGATAGAGATGGAGTTAAAGGTAGCAGAGGGGAAAGTCCACCATGTGTCCCTGCCCTCAAACCCTACAAAACCACCATGCTCCCTTCCAGCACCTCCCAAAGCTTCCTAGGCTCCTCAAGGCTCTAGCCACCCAAACATAGCACTATTGCGGCGCAGGAGCCCATTTTCTGTTTACCAAAGAGCGATGCATTAATCGAAGAGTACAAGAGCTGATTTGGTTTGCTTACGCAGTAATAGAAAAAAAAAAGAGAATAGTATACACTTAATTTAATATATTTTTTAATATATTTTTAATTTAATTATTAAAAATATAATATCAACATAATTGATTTAATCAGTTATTATATTTTGTATACATAATTATATGTTTAAATCTATTTATTTTTAATTTTAA